GGAATCTTTTTCTTTTTGTGCAGTTTTAGCAAAGAACCTATCCAATCACACTTGCTTTTGCCTCTTCCTGAGGATTTTGTGAAAATGTGACATTACATTGCCATTAGTTTTACCGCTTGCACCTTTAGAGGTTTAATCAGATGGTGTTGAATTTTGTACTATTTCCAACATTTTACACATTTCCTTAATCTCATTTGAAGTGAGAGATTCTTTCATCTTTTTCTGATCCTCCTCTGCACATGATATCTCCTCCATAACTTCTTGCTATTGGGAGATGTTCACCCACAATCCCACAGCAGGAAAGACAGCACAAGAAGAACCATGGGCTCAACTGCAGTTATGTGATGTTCCACATCACAAACAACTCATATTGCAAGTTTAGCAAGTTAAAATTTATTAGAAATGCTTGCTTATCTTGTGGAACAGTCACGGAACTTGTTACTCACAGTCCAAATTTTACTCTATGTAAAGTAAATATTTAAAAAGCTGATGTGAGAAATAAGTAGCAGTTATAATAGATAGTAGTAGATTTCACTAACCCACATTCAACAATGTGAGGATCATCCAGACAGAAAATCAGTAAGGAAAAAGTACTTGAATAATATCATAGAACTAATGAACCAAATTGATATATTTAGAAACATTCCATCGAGTAGCATTATCCTTTCAAGAGAATACAGGAAATGTTCCAGTATAAATCATACATTATGCCACAAAACAAGTCTTGACGAATTAAGATGGAAATCATGTAAAGTTTCTATTTCAAATACTATAATATAAAACTGAAAATCAATAACAGGAAGAAAATTAGAAAATTCACAATTATGTGGCATTTTTAACAATCCACGCTTGACAAACCAATGCGCCAATGAAGAAATCAAAATGATAAATAAAAAAAGTTTCAAGCAAAAAATGGAAATACAGCATACCAAAATTTATGGGATGCAGCAAAATCAGTTCTGCTATAGTATGCACAAATTCATGTTAATATCTGGACATAAGGCCTTTGTTACATGCACTCTTGAGAGTGAGGCCTCCATGTTGTAATTTATGGCTCCATCGGAGGAGAAACTGAACCCCAAGCTAGTAAGCTTGCCCTGCCTCTCTATGTGATGCGCTCTGCCTCATTTGTGATGTCCTCTGGCTAACTATGTGATGCCCTCTGCAGTGTTATGATGCACCAAATACTGGCAGTTTTCTATGCAATGGTCTTGGAATTCCCAGCTTCCTAAACCACAAGCCAAAAAAAAACTTCTATCTTTCTAAATTTCATGATCTCAAGTAATTTATTGTAGCAAAGGAAAATGAACTAAAATAAGTTCTAAGAAAGAAGTCAATAGCAATAAATGCCTACCTTAAGAAGCAGAAAGATAGAAAATAAACCACCTAACTTTACAACAACCACAAGAAGCTAGAAAAAACTAAGCCTCCAGTTACCAGATGGAAGGAAATAACAAAGATTAGTAGAGGTATAAATGGAAAACATTTACAAAGACAATAGGAAATATAAAAATGAAGCTAAGAGTTGATCTTTTGAAAAAGCAAAATTGACAAGTCTATGGATAAACCAGAGAAAAGTGAGGATTAAATTAAATTACAAATGAAAGAAGAAACATTGCACTAATATCATAGAAAGATAAAAAACATAAGAGACTATTATGAATTAGATGAAAAATATTGGCTAACCTAGAAAAAAATATAAATTCCTAGACACATACAACTTACCATGACTGTAACATGAAGAAATGGAAAATTTGGAAAACCTGATAATGAGTAAAGATGTTGAGGAAGTAATCAAAAACATCCCAATCATAAAGCAGTAAGTCAAAAATTCAATGTGGTAAATAAATTTGAGGCTCTTCTCATCTATTTAAAAAACAAACAAAAACAAAAAGAAGCAGCTAGAGTATTCATCATCATAATTGATTGACATTATTAAATAAAATTAGAAAGAAAAAGAAATTAAGAAAACAGTTCTTTTTAAAGCAATATCAAAGGTCATGATAAAGAATAAATTTATGTCCACTGAGAAGTAGATAACATTGATAAAATAAATAAAATTTCTCATAAGCAGAAGGACATATTATGTTCATAGATCCAAAGACATATTATGAATATTAAATATTAACACATGTCACAACATAGCTGAATCTCAAAAACATTATGCTGATAGAAGCCAATTGCAAAAGGGTCCATGTTATATGATTACGTTTATAGTCAGTATCAAGAATAGGTAAATACATAGTGACAGCAAGTGAATCGGTAATTGTCTGTTGTTGGGATGGAAAAATGTGGTATGGCTGATGGTTGTATGGATGATTTTTAAGGTGAAAAACTGTTCTTAAATAAGATTGTGAGTTGGTCTGAAGGCTGTGGGTTATTATTATTGTTAAACTGATTAAATAGGATTGTGGTGTTGTTTAAATAAGGCTGTCATATCTTAAATCCCACTGAATTATACACTTTTAATTTGTGAATTCTATAATGTCAATCATATTGCAATAAAATTATTTAATGTCAACACAGATTACTGTTATTCTTTAAAAACAAATGTTTTCCTGAGAATTATTTTGACCAAGTCATTTAGTCTTACCAGCACTCATTTTCCTCAGGTAAAAATATCATTTGTATTGGTGTATGGTAATATGATGTTTAGTTTCTTCAGCTATTAAATTTTCATTATTTATTTTTAAAACAACCAAAGTCCACAAATACTAAGATTGATGGACAAAACTACCAAATCACCTTGGAGATGAATATGGCTACAATCTTGTCCCATGAGTGGGGTTAATATGAAAGTGAGCTGTGGTATCCTGGTATAATCAACTCTTGCTAGTTTCCTTAATCTCACTTTAACTTTTAATATGATATTGCCAAGATGTTCCAAAACAGAGCTGATTCAAATTACTTATTATTCTCTAGAATCTCTGCAATTTAAACTGATTCTTCTAGATAGCTTGGGACTACACTATCCTTAAGGCAACTGGTGTAAGAGAGACCAAAGGTAGATATCTCCGTTATATATTCTGAGGAACAAACTCAAGACAATTGCTTGCTTGCTTATAGTTTCATAGCTATAAAGACTATCAAGATGATCATGGGTTCCATTCTATACTAATCCAATAGTGTTGGTAAGACAGTTTAATCAAAGTGTTGGTGGCAAACATTCATAGACACTGCTTCATCAGGGTGCCTTGATTTCCTGCAGATCTCCTTTAATGGACTAAAAGAAAGATTGAGTAAGTGATGCTCTAAGGATTCTCTGAAAACACTATTTTACTGTTTCAGATTAAGTTGACTTGAAGAGGTCCTGTATAATATAAATAGGAATACATGGCTTTTTAAAAGATATTGTGAGGTTAGTAGTTGACCTCCAATCTTCTCTCATTGAGTACTACATGCTATTTCCTCTTCAAATACCTTGTGATAACTGTGAATACTTTATATGAAATGTCTACCTGTTCAGAGCATTGTGAACATTAAATGGAAAGGGATATATAAAATGATAATGGTGTTTGGTATTTGGTAATCTTTCAACAAATGGTAAATATTATTTTAATTACCATTAATAAGAACATTCAAGGGATAAGAAAATACAAACAGTAATGAATGAAAGGGGGAATTTTGGAGGATATTAATGGAGTGATTTAAAGTTACTTTAAGCATAGTTTGTAAAAAAACAAACAAAAATTAATTGATTCTCAATAGAAAATGACTATTAATCATGATGCTTGAATGCCTCTTTTGTTAGGGTCAGGTGCTAGAGGGGTACTTCCTCTACTACATTATTGCTTTTCATTTTGAAGTAAAAAACTGTAAGACAGGGGCTGGGGATTTAGCTCAGCGGCACAGCGCCTGCCTGGCAAGTGCAAGGTAGTGAGTTCGATTCCCAGTACCGGAAAAAAAATAAAACAAAAGACAGTAAGACAGTAAATAAAAGAAAGTTATTAAATTGGTAGAAAATAGACTAGAAGCATCTTAAAGCCTAATAAACTGTAAGTACTGTGATTAAACATGTAAAAGCTGTAGGCAGTAGCAAGGAAAATGACAAACATCGATGTCTGGTTATTTAAATTCTCTAAAACAGAAATTTAGAAGAAAGATCTATGGCCAGAAGAGATTTTCTGAGGTTGACATATATCTCAGTGTTAAAGAGTTTATTTGAAGCATATTTAAAGAACTGAGTATGTGAAACAGTAAATAAATAAAACTTATTTTGTTTACAGCCCTAACATTGCTTATCACTGTAAATGTCTTTCTTCTATCAATACTTTACAAAATTCTAATTGACTAATATTCCACTTAATGTTTAATAAAGCATTAGAATCTTTTAGAAAAATAACTGTTATCTCAGTTACTGTAGACTCTGATTTCTCAGTCATTGATACACAGATAAATGATTGACTTGCCTGGATATGTACCCCAAAAGACACCGCTCATCTAGTGACACAGTAGCAAACATTACAGGAGTAATTTATATTCAAGAGGATGATCCTAGCTAATTTAATTGTGTTTTAGATATAGGAAATGCCATACTTCCCATAAAGCTACCACTTCCTGAACAAAATTATTTTAAATGACAAGGAGAAACTTTCATCATATAAAAATGATTGCATTTCAATTTTTATTTTCTTTTCCTGTTTTTGAGACAGGGTTTGGCTATGTAGTACAGGCTGGTCTTCTACTCACTTACGTAGCCCAAGCTGGCCTCTAACACGTGGTGACCCTTCTGTCTCGGCCTCCCGAGTGCTGGGACTACAGGTGTGCACCACCACCGATCCGAGCACATTTCATTTTTAAAAACATTTCATCACATTTGAACATGGCAAACTAAACAAAAGATTCCTCCAGGAGTTGATCCCAACCACCACTTTGAATCAAAAATTTCATATTACTTTAAAATGGGAGATAAAAGACCCAAGCCATGATCCTAACCAGGTACACAGTTCTGTAAACCAAACACAACTTTAAAAATTTTGTAAAATAAATATGCACATTACCTGGTAATTGTTTTGGTTTTGTGATAATCTCAATTGGTTTGATGATGAAAAATTTGGAGAAAAATTACTCCGTAATGGATTTGTATTACTGTACAATGTACTAGATGCTGTGTGTAATGAGTTTCGTGGTGTCAAATGGTAGTCTCTGTTCTGATATAGTACATTGTCTGACAAATCTCTAATATTCACCATTTGTGAATTTGGTATATTTCTTCCTGGTCCAGGCAAAGTTGTACTTTGGTTCTCATTTCGAAGGGAACTGCCACTTTCATAAAATCTTGAGTAGCTTGGTATTTGTGCTCCCATTAATGCCAGCTCCTCCTCTCTGGCATATTCATCCTCAGCATCTCCAGTCTCCATTGCAATGGACAAACAAATTCCTTCTGCTGTGCTTGGAGCCTTCTGCGTGGCACTTCCTCCAAGAATTTTCTGGGGGTAATCGCTTACTGCCAATGAAAACACTTCACGAATTTCCAAATTTTGTGTTCTACAATAAGGATCTCTAAGAGCTGGCTTTTGCCCACATAAATTATGTGATGCCATACTTATATGTTCAGGCTTATATGACCTTTGAAGCCCAACTGGTTCAATTTTGCAAGGTCGGTGGCACACAGATGGCTTTTCAGGTACTGTCATTTCAGAAGCTTGCACTGAAGAGCTTCCATAGTTTTTCTTTGTGTGATTATATACTGAGTTTCCAGCATTTAGCACACTTGTCTGTCTTGACAAAATAATTGTTTTTTCACCTAGGAGCAGGGAGGCATTTTTACAGTGTGCTACTTGTCTTTGAACAGGAATATGCAACTGAAACTCATTATCATTTTTACTGGTTGTTTTCTGAATAGGAATTTTATGTGCTTCTGTAATCTGCGTATTTGTATGTTTAGTTGTCCCTTGCTTACTCTGTGAACTGGCTGGACTGTATATACCTGTTAGAATGACATCATTATTGGCTGAAGTCCAAGAAGACTGTTGGCTTGAAGGTCGAACACTGTTAACCACATTTCTGACTGTAAGGTCTGGAGCTGCCAAGGAGGTACCCGAAAGTGTTCCAGCTGTTCCTGATTCAGAATTCTTACTACTCATTTTTCTTCGCTTATTGCCAACCCACGTCTGAAAGAATAAAAATAATATTATGAAATACACTTTAAAATCATGAAGACAAACAATTTTTTATAGAATCAAAGCCTATACAAAGGTAAAAAGAACACAGAATAAAAGAATATTGTCAAGTATAAGATCAAATATGATTAAGGATTCACCAAAAACATATTTAAGATCTCTGAGAACAGTGTTTTATTTCTCTTCTCTTTCACAAAACCTCTGCCATGAGTATGAATAATGAATTCTCTAAATATTTATATCCATTAATCTAGTAATTATGCATTTCCATGAATTTAGCCTAAAAAGTGGTCACTAATATATGCAACATTTATATGTATTGATGTTTATCAAATTTTGGAGGCATATAAAAGGAGGTAGGCTCTTCAATTTCATTAGGAAACATTCACCACAGTATTAACTAAATACACATTTGCAATCTTCAGATTTATGACTTATGTTGAGTTCATATCACTTAATTTTATACTGCTACAAACTTATATCATATTTAAAATACTCATTATAATAAATCATTTTGTAATATTCCTCTTTGTGAATATGCTTTTGTACTATTAGTTCACTAGAATTCAATACTTAGAAAAGAAATTGCTAGTGTATATGTCCAAGTGCCCTCCAACATCCAAGAATATTGTTGCTTCACACCCTGACTACTTTGCATTTTTGAGAAATTTTTACTAGCCTGGGAATTAATAAAAGATAAATAATTGCTCTTTGTATTTGATGTTCTATGGGTATTATATTATTTTTATAGAATTTTATTTGTTATCTTTATTTTTATATTAAGGTGTTTTGACTTATAAAAGTAATTTGTAAAAGCAATCTTCTACTAAAGAGAACAACACTTCAGACATTGCAACAATTTTTCTTTTTGTCATTAATTCATGGTAGTATTTTTTTCTTTTTTCAGATCATTTTCTTTATTAGTACTTATTTGTAGTACACGATATTTACACTCCTTGTGGGACTTGATATGTAATATGTCTTAATTCCTTTTTTCATCTCCTTTCCCTTCCTTTCCTCCCCCACCTTCATTCATCTCTTGATTCTCTTGCTTTTTTGTACATTTGTAATACATAATGTTTACCTTCCTTGTGTGGAGTTGCTACATGTGCATAAAATATTTTAGTTCCTTGTTTTCAACCCCTTTCCTTTACCTTCCTCCCCTATGTCCTGATATCCTCCCCACTGGAGAAAGATCACCCTACTTTCTAATGAATAGCATTTTCTTCTTTACACCTTACTTATAAAACTTTATAAAATAAATACATATTGTTTCTATAAACAGTAAAATATTAATGAAAATATAACTGGCATTTTGCCTTTCATTATGAAATATCACTATTGTATTGAATTATGGCTTTTCTTAAAATACACAATTAGAAACCCTACATTCTGTACTGTGATTGCCAAACTTTACAATTATTACAGGATTCATAACAACTGCCAAACTACCAAAATGTATTAATACATTAAGATTTAAACAAAATAAATAAAACATTAAATCAACTAGTTTTGCATAAATGTGGTACAGATTTTTGTAGCTCTCCTATGATGTGTTTTGGAAAATGAAATAAATTAGCTAATTTTCAATGTCTATCAATGTAACACATAACTATACATAATATTAGTGCTGCTGCAATACTGTAAATTAAACCTACCATGTTATTGACTCTCCCTTTATATGTTCTTTATGTGTATTTGTTCCTTTAGTTTGAGTTATTTTTGAAATTGTATAAATGAAGAAAGTGTGGTTCAGAAGTAATAAGTAGTTTCTGGAAAGATATTTTGTGTGTTAATAGCTGAGCAAAGATTCAAAGTCAATTCTATTCCATTTCTATTTGACTTGAGCTAGGAGGGTTTTAAACTCACTCTGCTTTACCTTCTTAAAACAGAAGGAGGGATAATTACAAGCCAAAGGAAAGAGAAGTATAAATGTCACAAGAGAGAAGGGAGGAAAAATTAAAAATTTTAAACAATATATTCAAAAGAAATATTTAAAAATAAGTGTTTTAAATAAATTGAATTTCTACTAGTGTGAATTTTACATACATTCAAAATAAGTTTCTGGGGGCTGGGGATTTAGCTCAGCGGCAAAGCGCCTGCCTGGCAAGCGCAAGGTCGTGAGTTCGGTTCCCGGTACCGGAGAAAAACCAAAAAAAAAAAAAAAAAAACAAAAAAAAACAAAATAAGTTTCTGTATTATGGCTTTTCTAGTTTGATCAATATTGCATGTCTCTATTTATTTTCCTGAGAAACCACTTTGAAGATATCAATATGTAGTACAACAACCATTGTTAATTTCCTACCACTTTGTCTGTAACTCTGTATTGTTCGTATTGTTCTTATGCTATTTTGTAAATGGATCTCTGTTTGTTAATATGTTTTCTTCTTTTATTTTTAAAATAAATTTTAAAAAATCCAAAAACAAAAAAAGAAAGGCAAACAAAAACTGTGGAAAGCATGACGTATTTGTGCATAATTTTTTACAAAATATATACACATTACATTAAAATTTTAATAGAGAAGCAAAAAACTGGTAAAATTTAAAGAGCTATTATATTAAAAGATCACCTCCACACCATATTTCAAAAAACCCCACAAACTCCCAAGTTCTTAGCAAACATTACTTACCTAAACTCAGACAGTTTAAGAATTATCTTAGTACACTACTAATTTATGGCTTACTTACATAAGTTTTTATAGTTTACACATACAGATGTATATTTCATAGAGTTACTTAAGTAGTTTATTACATATTTCTATTATGTACCATAAAAAATAAAATGCAGTAGAATAATATGTACATATGAAACTCATCTGTCTTGTAACCTAAGAAACTCACTTGCTCAGAACACAGTCAATGTAGAAGTCATAGAAACTTGTAGTTCATTAATAGGACAACCCTTAACTTTAAAATCCACGTTTTATGATTTTATATATAATTTGAAAAAATTGGGTATCCTACTGTACATAAAACTACAAAGAGCAAAAGAGAAGGACATTTGCAATTAATTGAGGTTGCTGATGGTAGGCAGGGTGATAGACCTAAAACTAAACCTTTTCACTTAACATGGCTTATCAAAATGGAGAAAAAAATGAGACAAAATCAGGGTAAGAAATTACTAAATGGACAGTCTGAAGTTCTTTAATAAAATGAAAAATAATCCCACATACTTTATAAAGTTGTGAACATTATTTTGTAGCACAATATAATAATTACTTTCCATAATGAAGACCCTGAATCATGAAAAATTCTATTGAAGTAATTCTCTATTGAAGAAAGGTACAAATGTATATACTGGAGAAATATTCCCATTTAAAATGTTGAAGATAAAAAAGTATCCATTGCCTGAGGCATCTCAATATTTGAATTAATTTTACCAAAAGTTGTTTAGTTATGAGATCCAAAATCTACCAATGCTTATCAGATGTAAATGATTTGCACTGTAAATGTCTCAATGGTTAGAAGTGAAAAAAGGCCACACCAAATTGATATGATGAGAGATTTGGGATGAGGAGCTAAACAAAGTGACACTACATAGGGAAGAAAAGGGAAAGGTACTTGAATCCCCAATACTTGGTGTCCATAAAACTCACTTTTGGTTTTCTCTTAGAAACTTACTTTCTCTAAATATCTTCATTTTGCTATATCTCATTCCTTATTCTCTGTTCCTTCACCCCATTATGTTTATTTTTATTTGACTGTCTTAACTTTTTAAATTCTCTTTACATTGAGATCAGATGCTTAAGAAAGTGATACTTGAGTCCTTTTGAGGAAAGACATAATAAAAATTATACTAAAAATCATAAAGATCATTAACAAGTAGGACCTATAGATCTAGCAAAGTATAGGTGGTGGGGTTGAAGAGCGATAAGTCTCTTTTCCAGTGAATAAAAGAGCCACTGAAGTCATGTCAGGGTATAGATTAGGAAAACTAAATTTCTATACAATTTATGCTTTCGAGGATGGAGAAAATGACTGTGATTTACACAATCCCTTGAAACTATTTTTCCCTCTTTCAGCCAAATTTTTATTCTACAGTTTATGTTTAATACAAATAAATTCCATAATATGAGAAGTTATTATCTATAAAAGCATAAATACACTAACAGCATTTTTGTGATTCCACATTTTAAGAATTTATATCTTTCATTTTCATTGTTATTTTATATTTTCACACAATTTTGGGTGTAAATATCTGTATATCATGGATATCAATATTCAAGCACAATGAAATTATGAAGAAAAGATTGCAATAACAAATTGGAAATATAAAAGATAGTCCACAGAGCAGCTGCCTGGAGAAGACTTAATTTTAAAGTAATGGTAAGAAACAGTGAAAAAAAGAAAGCAAGGAAATTGCAATAGGAGTAAAAGAGTTTGTATTTATAATGTGCAATCTCAAATTGAAACATTCTGTATTACATTTTGAAACAATTAAACATTTTCATTTAAATTTCAGCAAAGGTAATTTTTGTTTGTTTGTTTTTCTAGTACCGAGAATCAAACTCACAACCTTGCGCTTGCCAGGCAGCTGCTGTTCCGCTGAGCTAAATCCCCAGCCCTCTGCAAAGGTAATTTTAAATAGTGTATTTAGAGGGATCAGTAGAAACTATTTCTAATTCTCACACAAATCTGAGTATGATGGTTAATTTCAAGAAATAAGGAACGGATATCCTGGATATTTTCTCATACAATTGGTTTTATAATTACCTATTTTAAGGAAAATACATCCTTTAGTTTTTAAGAAATATTTTCCAAAAATTCTGCTTATCATAATTTTTGGGGGTCTCTAAAAGTAGATACAGTAAAATAATCTTTAAAACAGACACATTTTCTCTGTCCCAAATTAACCTAATGAATGCCAATGATGAGAAAGTTGCTAAGTTTTGAATCATTAAGGGTTTACCAAGAGGACTTGTTGCATGTTGAAATAATCATGAAAGGGTTTATACATTCAATAAAATTCTAACTAGTTGTGTTAGATTTATCTCTTTTCTCTTATCTCTTTCTCATTACCTTTCATGAATGTGTAGTTTTTTTTAAATACAAAGAAATGAATTTTTTACAGCTGAAAAACTATGATTTTGATTATATCCTACCTTGGGATATCTAGCCCTTAATTCCTAACCCTTAAAATGCATACATATCACTTAGAAGAAGATATTCGTAAAACAGACTATGTTTTCCTGAAAAGACAAAACTACTAAAGTCATAAATGCCTGAGGAAAAAAATCAAATACAAAAAGAAAGTTTATATGGAGAATTCCCTGAGAAAATGTCTATCTCATTATCTTTTTGGGCTGTGGGTTATACGAGGATTATTTGAGGTTTTTTTTTTTTTTTTTTTTTGGTTTTGGTTTTTCTCCGGTACCAGGAACTGAACTCACGACCTTGCGCTTGCCAGGCAGGCGCTTTTTGCTGCTGAGCTAAATCCCCAGCCCCTTATTTGAGGTTTAAAAAGCACGAAATAAGTTTCAGGGGTTTATTAGTTGCAAGGACTGAGATATTTTAAAGATATATTTATGCTACAAATGTTTTAGGTTCTCAAGAGTTTTACAAAAACAAATATATAGTAAATGATTATTTCAATTTATTAAGAATTAATATTTTTATACCAGGGAAATGAAGTTGCTTATAAAGTTAGTTGCTTCATACCCTGAGTAGTTTTTCTCATATTAAGCAAAGATTATTAGTCATTAAAGGCTATAAATTCAAGTGTAAGACCTCAGTACTTACCCTGACTACACTGAAGTCCAGTTTAGTCTCTTGTGCACACTGTAATATGAGCTGAAAGCAATTTTTACTTTGATTTGTCATTCCATTTTCATAATAACGCTGTAAAATCCTTTGTTGTTCTACAGTAAATACTGAACGTAGATTCATCTAAAAATAAAAGAAGATACTCTGAAAATTGGAATAAAAATTGGGTATGTCTAGCATTTATACACTTTTTTTTTCAATACAATTTCAGTGCTTCCAAAAGGTAATATTTTTAATGGGAAATAATTTATGTGCTAAAGGGTAATAGTTTCTTACTGAAAAAGATATGTAGTACAAACACATACTGAATTTGTTCAGAAAAATTACCAACTTCAAAGAAAAAATTTGAAAAAAGAGAAAACATCTGATCTGGTTAGAGTAAGTGCATAGGGCAAAAAATGTTCCTTACTCTGAAATATTTATGCTTTGGAAAGTCAGAATTGTGGTAGTCATACATGATCAATTATCAACAGGGGCACTAACTCTTCTTTGTCAAGTAAGGCATCTGGCACACATCTAACAATCAGAAGCTGCACTCTGGAACAAAAGGATGCTTTTAGTTTTCTTCTTTCTGGGACTAAGGTGTTATTTTTATATACTAAAACAAAACCTTCCTTTAAAACTTAAAAATATAAAGGAAGGTATAATTCAGGTGATGTTATCCAAAATTAATTATTTTAATAACTACACTACATAAAACAAAATTAAAAATCATGTTTACTTTATTAAATAAAACTGTGTAAAAACTATATCTTTTAATTAAATAGATACTACTAAAATTAGATAACATAAGTTGAAAAAACACTACTTTTTCTGACTATAGATAAAATGTTTGATACTAAAGATGTTATAGTTTGTGTCTCTACGTCCCCCTAAAGCCTCATGCAGTCATGGGGGGGCGCTTCTAGAGTTTATGATTGATTCATGGTCCAATGCTGGGATTATGGGTGTGAGTGCTACACCTGCCCTGAGGTGGATAGCTTGCGTACAGTGTAAACAAGGGAAAGATACTGCTTGCAGCTGCTTCTCCCCTTTGCTCTTGTAGCTTTTGCTATCTTCTGCTGCCATGAACTGTTACCCTCTGCCATGTACCATGCCTTGGAGCCAGTCGAGTATGCACTGAAACCTCCACAAAATGTGAGCTAAATAAATGTTTCCTTTCTTAATTTTGGGGATGAGGTCATTTGTCCCAGCAATGAGAGAAAAGTAACCAACACAGAATTTGGTACCAGGAGTGGGATCATTGCTGTGACTATACCTGACCATGTGGTTCAAAAGCCTTTGGAAATGGCTTATGGGAAGTGTTTGGAAAGGTCTGGAGATTTCACCTGAAAGAGAATCGCTAGAATGCCTTCAGATGTGCTGTATGAGAGATTCTGGTCAGAGCTCAGAAGACCAGAAGGCTGATAGAAATCCTGCTAGTAAAGACCAAGTTCAGGAGGTTTCTGTTAGGAAGAAGGCCTGCATTGGTTGTTGGACTCCAGATGATGTGTTATGGCATGGCAGAAAGTTTGTCTGCATTTTTCTCAAGTCCAGACAGTTGCCCATGACTGAGATTAAGGGCAGTGGACTAATTAATCTGGCAAAAGAAATTTCAAGGCAGTCGAATGTTGGGGCAGTGGGATGGCTATTGTTTGGGGCATTTAGCCAGATTTATGTTGAAAAGCAAGAACAAAGAGCCCAGCAGGATGACTTAAAAAGTTGTGAGTTTGCCCAGAAAGGAAGCTCCAGTAAAGCTGATGATTACAAAGACAGAGCTGAGGAGATGTCAGCTGCTGAGAAGGAACAGGAGAATATAAAAGATGGCCTGCGGGCATCACAAGAAAAAGCAAGTCTCCAGTCTTTTCAGCCTCAAACCTGCAAAAGTGAAAGACTTTGCTCTGAGGAGAAAGCCACGTTGTACCACATTCCAGAATGGCAGCAGCAGCCACACCATAAACCAGAATGGCAGCAGCATAGAGAATTTGTTCCACAGAATCAGGTTCAGAGGGCTCAGCAATTCAGGCATTCAACCCCCACAGCCAAGAGAGGAGAAATCCTGCCTAGTGCTCCAGCTGGCAGCACACCTTGGCTCCATCCATGCTGTGCTGGTATTAGGTGCATACAGAATGCAAGAGTTCTGAGGTTCAAAAGGTTTCCCCCTAGACTTCACAAGGCCTAAGAGGCAAGACATTGTGTCTTTGAGATTGCAGTGTTTGAAGCTGTGAGTGTGAAACCTAAAGTGCAGTAGAGACACCAGAAGTTTTGGAAAAGCCAGGAACGTGGATTGCCTGAGGAAAGCTGCAAGGAGGGAGCAAAGCAGGCCCAAGAGAAAAACCATGGGAGCTACAGCCACCAGAAGTGTGGAGCCACATGGAGCTCACAATTTATCACAGACTGCTTTGGATTTCCAACTGGAACTACAGAGCAAAATGTTAGCCCTGCTGTATTTTGGACTTGCTTTGGTCCCAGTGTTTTGTATCTCCCTGTTTGTACCTTTTCAAATGGTAAGGCTTATCTGTGCCATTGAATATTGGAAGTGTTTAACTTTGTTTTCATCTGTACAGATGCTCACAGCTAAGAGTTTGCCTTACATCTTGAAGGAGAGTTGGTATTTGGACTTTTCAGCAATGCTGAAACTGTTAGGAATTTGACCACTCTTAGGGATGGACTAAAATGTCTTTTGTATATAGGAATGGACATGAGACTTTAGGGGGCCAGGGACAGAATGTTATGGTTTGTGTCTGGATGTCCCCTCAAAGCCTCATGCAGTCATGGGGTGGGCTTCTAGAGTTTATGGTTGATTCATAATCCAAGGCTGGGATTGTGGGTTTGAGTGCTACACCTGCCCTGGGGTGGGTAGCTTGCATCCAATGTAAGGGATGGAAAGAGGCTGCTTGCAGCCGCTCCTCCCTTTTGTTCTTGTTGCTTTTACTATCCTCTGCTGTCATGGACTGTTGCTCTCTTCCGTGTGCCATGCCTTGGAGCCAGCCAAGTATGGACTGAAACCTCCACAAACTGTGAGCTAAATAAACCTTTCTTTCCTTAATTTTGGGCTTCAGGTATTTTGTTCCAGCAATGAGAGAAAAATAATCTAAACAAAGGATAAAAACTGTGAATCTCATGAGTAAAAGGCTGATCAAACTCTCCTTCAAAACAGATGAATTATAGTAGTGCACTTTTATAAAGTATCCTTGTAATTTAATTAGGGGAATTTCAGGCTCTTGCTGAAAGCTATCACATTGAAATTTTTACTCCTAATTGACTCACAGGAAATCTTTCTAAGGAAATTATTTCTTTTAAATTTGGAAAACAGCAACAGGAAAAACACTGTAAGACAAAACAAACCATATATGGAATCAACAACATAGTTGCCGTGTGATACTGGTATGCTGCTATTGTTCTTTTCCTTGTTTGTTTCTCATTTACTATTGTCTTTAAAATAAAATTAAAAAAAAAACAATTTCCCTTCCTAGAAACACTTTGAACAATAAAGTCATCTAATAAAAAATTAAAGAGCCATACGGCCATACATTGTAGTTTGTATACCTGGCTTTCCTACTCACATAAACATTTTCTAAGTAATGTTAAGAGAACAGATTATAGAAAATCAGACGTTGGAGAAGGCATAGAAAAAATGAGAGAAGTGTTTCTATCTGAAATAGAAACAAAGACCTCTAGTGTATTTTTGAAATGTGTTTTGGAAGGTGTACACTAATGTGGGAGTATAATCACTTATCTGCTACTGAACCAAATGTTCAAGTGTGTTTGGATCATTACATAGTGACAATATCTAGCAAAGAAATTTTGCTATCATGGTTGCCATTTTTCAGATCAATTTGGAGTTACTTTTCCTAAATGGTTGAGGCACACTGGGGAGAAAATACAGAAATGAAGGTCAAATACATGAAATTTATCATAGAAAATTAATTTAGAAGTACTTTGGAATGAGTTGTGAGGAGGGTGGTAAACTTCAACTCATGAATGCCTAATTAGGGTAATGGGCCCAATCTTATTCTGCAAGACTGTGTCTTCAGCAAACAGCCTAAAGTGCAAGATACATGTAAGCCCCAAACATGATCATATCTGTTCCAGGAGGAAAATAAGATTATTTCCCTATTGAATGACTGCAACTGTTACACTTACCCAAGTACTACATGAGCTTTGCAAAGTACAGCAGGCCTTTCCCTACTAACAACCAGTAGCTAAATGTAGATGACTAAGTTTTTTTTTTTTTTAATCTTTTTGAAGCATGTTTTCACTATGCAGTTCAAGCTGGCCTTGAATTCACTTTGTAGCCCAGGTTGGCCTCGAACTCGCAGGGATCCTCCTGTCTCAGCCTCCCTAGTGTTTGGATAACCACCACACCCAGCAGATGACTGAATATTAAGTAGGTCTCTACAGGCTACTATTCTGAAAATGAGTAATATTATGAATTTTAACATTTTCCCCTTAAATTCAGTAGCAATAGCATCAACTTCATTTTTATCAAGAGAATTACTATTTTTCTTTCAAATTATTTAAAATTCATTTTTTACAAGATAAACACATTTAAGCAAAGAGCAAAATATCTTGTCATTATCTCCATCCACTCTACATATCTTGCTTTATGAAGTGGCAAGATATTAAATGAAAGTTTTCAATCACTTGTAAAAATTAATGAGAATTTTTAAAATACTTTTAAAGTTGAGTTCTTACTTATGTGGAAGATAAAAATCACAAGCCATTGGTTTCATGAGATTTGAGGTCATTAAACTGGAGTGGAAAGTTTGGCTGAATTAGGAGATTAAGCATTGAAGTACCATGACATTTATTTTCGCCTCAAGATTTTCTGCACTAATATGCTATGTATTGTACCACCCATTCAGCACATGCCAGCCCATAGGAGTAAGATGACCTATATTCTATGCCCAGCTCTGCTTCAGCTTATTTGGCAAAATAATTTCCCCTAACATCGATTTCCTAGGTTATAAAATACCTGTGTTATACAATTTGAGTTGTCTACCAATCTGAGTTACTATGAATGAAAACATAAGAATTCATTTTCCATGAATTATAAAGCAGTTTTAACATATTTTTTAATATAACTAGTCTCTTCACTTTATCTACAATTTCTAGGTATGGAATTTTGCAGATCCTTCTCA